CCGCGGGCAGCGTGTGGGCTCAGCAGGCGTGCCGAGCTGCCGGCGAGTGAACCGTACGCGGCGTTCCCGCTTCACGGGACGCTAATACCAAAGGTGACTCCAAGGTGGTAAGTTGGTAGCGGAATTGTACGGAAAGCGCCGCGAGGATGAAGCGCGTGCGGAGTTGCCAGCAAAGCCGTACGAAGTGCATGATGAGTGGTTCAACTGATTTAAGAAACACATTCTCTCCTGATTTCTCAATGAACTCTGAGTGACGCTGTCGGAGCGTGGCCATGTTGCTGCCAGTGAGCTCATCCTCCATCAATCCTGACAGCGGACTTCTGCTTCCGCGACGAGTGAGGAAGACCACGGGACGGGGTTTGGGTAACAGGGAGGCAGATGACTTCCAGCAAGGGCTGTGACAAAGTGGTGACAGGTGACTTTCGCTTTCCCAACCTCTGGCACGGCCGTGACATTGGCCAAGCGGCAGCTGGCGCGCTATGGCAGATGCCTTCAGGTGATGCTCTCGCTTCAAGCACGCAGGTTTTTGCTCACACAAGTTTTCGTCTTGCTCGGTAACTCGGGTCGATAGCTGACAGTGGAAATCTTGTGTGCATAAGGGATATTTTTCGAGTTCAAGTCTACTTGCCATATAAGCTGTAAGGAAATAGCATACTATATTCACCTATCACAGCAACAATATAAAAATAGCCGTGCAATGATATTTTACTAATTTTTGGTGTGTTTTTTTTTTTCTTTTGACTTTCCAGGGTGTGAACGAGACAAGTGGCTGTTTTCTGATGAATAGAGTCCTAGAAAAGTATTATCTTTCTACCATGTACAGCCTTGAGTTCATTTTAGGCTTCATTGGAAACACCATTGTTATGTTCGGCTATATTTTCTGCCTGAAAACCTGGAAAAGTGGCAACATCTACTTGTTCAATTTGTCATTATCAGATCTATTATTTCTGTGTACTCTTCCAATACTCGTGAGCAGCTACTCCAGAGATCGATGGACACAGGAGAGCACCTTGTGCCACAGCAACAGATTCATGTTGCACGCAAACCTCTACAGCAGCATCCTTTTCCTCACCGTTATCAGTATTGACCGATACATGCTCATAAAATACCCTTTCAGGGAACATTTTCTACAGAAGAGGAAAACGGCCCTTATCGTGTCTGTTGCCATATGGATCGGGGTGATACTGGAACTGCTGCCGTTGATGTATTTCCTGGAGCCTGTAACGCCTCAAAATAATCACAAGTGTCTTGATTACGCCAGCTCTGGAGACCCCACAAAAAGCCTCATCTACAGCATGTTTCTGACTGTCTTTGGGTTCCTTATCCCTCTCGTGATCATGTGCTGCTTCTACGTGAAGATGGTTCTTTTTCTTAAAAACAGGAGCGAGCAACTCCATTCTGTCCTGACACTTGAAAAACCCCTTACTTTAGTCGTCCTCGCAGTGGTTATCTTCTCATTGCTCTTTACTCCCTACCACGTGATGCGCAACGTCCGACTTGTGTCCCGAATACCTGCCCTGAATATATCTGCGTGCACGCAGGGCATCATCAACACCATTTACATCATCACGAGACCCATTGCGTTTTTGAATAGTGCCATTAATTCTGTTTTTTATTTCTTGATGGGTGACCACTTCAGAGAGATGCTGGTGGCTAAAGTAAGGCAGCTCTTGAGCAGGTTTTTGAAAACCGCTGGCAAATGAACGGGTAAGGAGGCCTCTCGTAGTGGGAGGCAGAGGGAGGAAACCCTTAGGGAGAGCATTCACCGATGTACAGTGCCTTTTTTTTTAGATAACTTTATGCTATAGAATATGTGTGAACTGGTTGTGTTCCTCTAACTGCGCTTGTTACCTTACTGTACGGGAGACCTCCTTCTGCTACTCTGACTCCAGCACACCAGAAGCGATGTTCTCTCACAGCAGGAAACCGCGCTCTCATCGCAGGATACCCTGTGGCCTGTTCGTATTGTAAATAAAATATCATCATGGTAGTTCCTAGAAGGAAAATACACTGCTCTCAGATGGCTTCTTTGTGAGCCGTAACTTGATGCTGGGCTGGACCTAGCCTGGGGTAAAATGTGCCGGGGCACTAATTCACGTGGTCAACACAGAATCACAGAATCACAGAAACACTAGGTTGGAAAGGACCTTCAAGATCATCAAGTCCAACCATTAATCCAGCGCCACCATGTCCCTAAACCATGTCCTGAAGTGCCACATCCACATGTTTCTTGAACACTTCCAGGGATGGCGAATCCACCACCTCCCTGGGCAGCCTGTGCCAATGCCTGACCACCCTCTCGGTGAAGAAATTTTTCCTAATATCCAATCTAAACCTCCCCTGGCGCAACTTGAAGCCATTTCCTCTCGTCCTATTGCTGGTTACTTGGGAGAAGAGGCCAACACCCTCGTCGCCACAACCCCCTTTCAGGTAGTTGTAGAGAGCGATAAGGTCTCCCCTCAGCCTCCTCTTCTCCAGACTAAACAACCCCAGTTCCCTCAGCCACTCCTCATCATCATCAACACCATCCAGGGGTCAAGGTTGAGTCTTCTTTGTAGAAGTGTTTGCAAACTCTGCGTCTCCTGGGGGGTTGACCTTTCAGAATAGGTAACTGGGACAAGTTACATTTCCAGCTGATTTGGCGAGGGCTGGCATCTCGGGTGCGGCAAAAAAGGAGGGTACGCAAACAGCTGGGTGGAACGCTTTGGCGGCATTGCCAGAAGGGCGGCAGGGGCTTGGTTGCCATTTTTTGTTTGTAACAAGCATGAGGAGTGCAGAAAGCTATAAAGTTTGGCTGCCGGTCTTACAAGCATTTTGTGGGAGCACTGAGACAGCGAAGACGTGTGTGTGTGCGCGTGCGCACAGGCGGGTTCTTTCAGTCTTTGATATTAAAGCTGGGTTCAGCTTGCAGAAGTAAAAATAAGAAATTCTATTGTTTTAGTTCTTAACTGAGATTTGCCTTCATGCGTCACTGGGATAGCTATGCGAGCTCATGCTGGCATGATTTTGCGGTCACTTTTCAAAGTATAAGTTTACTTAATTTTAATGTAATTAGCTATGGGTGCAAGCAGAGTGTATAGCTTGAAGCAGAATTTGGACTTCGCAGTTAGAACTTCATTAACGGTTCTGATAATGAAACAGGAGCTAATGAAGAGCCAGTTCTCTGCCCAACATCCCCACAGAATCGTTGCAGAACTTACTCTCAAATCGACTGACCTGACTTCAAATACAAAGGGTGAAGAGACCGACGAAGTAATACACTTGTACGAGGTTGGGCCGGGGAAGGACCGTGCCGGACGGAGCGTGGGCAGCAGCACGGGCAGGGTGCGGGCAGCCCCCTCTGCCTGCGTTCCACCAGGCGATGGAGGAACAGCCTGGTGGCTGTTGGCCAAGCACAAGGCGAGCGCTGCCCAGGGGCTCGCTGCTCCCCGAGGCACGGAGCAAGGGCTGCCCGTCGTGTCTCAGCAGAGGCAACTTGAGTTCTGCTTTCTGACGTGGTGGTCATCTGCAGTACGCTTAAATGTTTCACCGATACCTGCCTGCCCGATAATAAACTGTGCATCCTGTTAAAAAAAGCCCCCTTTACGTTGAGTGCTTTGTTTTATAGGCTATTCTCTTTCATGCCCATGAAGCCACTCCATTTGCCTTTTTCCTGTTAACAGTAAGACCTGAAAAGTCTGTGAGCAAAAGCGCTCACTTGGCTCGATGAGAGGGACCCCCCTGGGCTGG